TGACCAACTGGCCGACCCTCTCCCAATCCAGGACCCCTCAAGGGATGTCAGAGAGCCAGTTTCGGCCCAATCCCCACAGGCCAGGCTGAGGGACACCACCAGTGCACGCATCTGTGCATCAAGCCTCTAGTTCAACCATAAAAGAAATGAAGTTGGCCTTGGCTGGTATGGCTCAGTTGTTGACCCATACAACAGAGGGTGGTGGGTTCGATCCCCAGGTCAGGGCACGTACAGGGGGCAACTGATTGATGTTTCTCTCTCTCTCTCTCCCTTCCTCTTTCTCTAAAATCAATAAAAACATATCTCCAGGTGAGGATTAAAAAGGAATGAAGTTCCAATTCATGCTACAACATGTATGAACCTTGAAAACATTATGCAGAGTGAAATAAGCCAGACACAAAAGGACAAATGCTGTATTCCACTTACAGTACATGAATATCTAGAACAGTGGTTCTCAACCTTTCTAATGCCACGACCCTTTAATACAGTTCCTCATGTTGTAGTGACCCCCAATTTCATTGTTACAAATTGAACATAATTAAAGCATAGTGATTAATCACAAAAACAATATGTAATTATATATGTGTTTTCCGATGGTCTTAGGCGACCCCTGTGAAAGGGTCGTTTGACCCCCAAAGGGGTCGCGACCCACAGGTTGAGAACCGCTGATCTAGAGTAAGCAAATTCAGAAATAGAATGTTGATTAGAGGTTAGCAGAGTCTGCAGTGAGGGAGGAATAGGGAGTGTTATGGATCGAATTGTCCCCCCCCCCCCCCCGCCGAAAGATAAGCATGAGGACATTTATATGTGATTAATAGCTCAGATTTCATTAACCTATGTGGGGGAAGAAGGGGAAGAGATACCCTGGGGTGGAGGATCAGTGAGCACCTGAGCCCCTCCCTCCCACCAGGCAAGAAGGTGCTGCAGGGAAGCCAGCGGAGGGCTGTGGAGCTTGGGCAAGTTGCCTGACCTCTCTGTGCTTCGGTTTCCTCCTCTGTGAAATCAGGGAAATGTGGGTATTTAGTATTGCAAATATTTTTAATATTACAAATATTAAACTGTTTAATTCCGTGGTCGGCAAACTGCAGCTCTCGAGCCATATGCGGCTCTTTGGCTCCTTGAGTGTGGCTCTTCCTAAGTCTTAGGAGTACCCTAATTAAGTTAATAACAATGTACCTACCTATATAGTTTAAGTTTAAAAAATTTGGCTCTCAAAAGAAATTTCAATCGTTGTACTGTTGATATTTGGCTCTGTTGACTAATGAGTTTGCCGACCACTGGGTTAATTCATAGGAAGGGCTGTGAACTGCTCCTGCTGCATAGCTAGCACTGGCTAAGGCAGTGATGGCGAACCTATGACACGCGTGTCAGAGGTGACACGCGAACTCATTTTTTTGGTTGATTTTTCTTTGTTAAATGGCATTTAAATATATAAAATAAATATCAAAAAATATAAGTCTTTGTTTTACTATGGTTGCAAATATCAAAAAATTACTACATGTGACCCGGCACCAGAGTTAAGTTAGGGTTTTTCAAAATGCTGACACGCCGAGCTCAAAAGGTTCGCCATCACTGGGCTAAGGGTTTGTACATCAGATTCGCAGTAACAGACACACCCTCTGATGCTCACTGGCTTCTGGGTGAGCAGGCGGGCGGGAAGCGCCGGGCCAGCGAGCCCCTGATGTTGTACCGGGTTCTCACTCAGTTGTACCCCAACAGAGACGTGGGAACTATCCTCCCAGGTTTACACAGAACTGAGCAAAGAGTGTTCAAAGGACTTGCCCGGAATCACACCGTTAGGTGGAAGTGACTGAGCCAGGATGCAAATTGGCTTACCAGGACACCAAACCAAGCCCCACTCTTTCCACTGTCCTCTGCCAAGCTCCTGGTACCCCAATTACCAGGGAGACAGAGGAGGGGTGCAGAGGGCCATGCCTCCATCTTCGGCAGCCAGCTTGGAGGTGGGGGACACATGAAGAAGAACAGCACAGTTCTCTGTACCTGCGGAAGGCTGTGTGGGGGGTTGGATACTGCACTTGGCCTCGGAAGATGTGGTACAAGTCCCAGGGCACCCACTATTAGTTGTATGGCCCCGGGCAAGTCACTTCACCTCACTGTGCCTCAGTTTCCTCATCTGTAAAATGGGGATAATAACTGTGTGGGCAGTAAAGGAAGCAACAAATCTAGAAATATCTAGCAAAGGGCTGGCATAGGGAGCATATCCAACTCCAGTTACCAAATGCGACCCAACACAGTCATCCCCCATCTCCAGGGGTAGGAGAGAGGGATAGGCTCAGGCCCGGGCTCAGAGCTCCCCTCACCCCATCATGTCTCTCCTTCAGGAAGGGGGGATTAGTGCCTGTCAGGGAGGGAGTCGTGAGGGAGTTGGAGGTTCTCAGTCCCTACCCAGCAGCCGCCCCCAACTGCACACACACACACACACACACACACACACACACACACCCTTCTATACAGCCCTCTGCAGGAAGGTTGCTCCACAGCGTGCTGTCGGACATTCTCCAGGATAAGGCGGAGACCACAGCTGTGGTCCAGCTGCAGAACCCAGCCCGGCCGACTGGCCCCATGCCAGAGACAGGAAGCCAGGAAGAGCTGGACATGCCTGCTGGACGCCGGGGCAGGGAGGACGCCAGGGGCTGGAGCAGGGCCAGTCTGCGGAGCGCGCTGTGTGGAAGGGACTGTACAGGAGGACCGTGCAGGCTCACCGTCACCCTTGGTGCCTAGAACCGTGGTCGGCAAACTGCGGCTCGAGAGCCACATGCAGCTCTTTGGCCCCTTGAGTGTGGCTCTTCCTAAGCCTTAGGAGTACCCTAATTAAGTTAATAACAATGTACCTACCCATATAGTTTAAGTTTAAAAAATTTGGCTCTCAAAAGAAATTTCAATCGTTGTACTGTTGATATTTGGCTCTGTTGACTAGTGAGTTTACCGACCACTGGCCTAGAGGGCTTGGGGGAGGGGGATGGTAAGAGCACTGGGGGTGGGGGGTGTTGGAAACCCAGGATTCAGTAGGATGGTGCCATGCATTAGCCCCTTCCCCTCTCTGGCCCCTCGTTCCCCCATATGTGACACTGGAAATACTTACTGAGCTCCTTGTGGCAGACACAATTCTAGGGGATGCACCAGCAGGTAAGGCAAAGTCCCTCCTCTCCTGGAGCTTTCCGCCCACCAATGAACAGGTAATAGGAAATGTGGGGATGAGGCCTATGGAGAGTAACCCAGTGGTGTGAAGGGACAGAGAGTGAGGGGTCTGGGATGGCCTCTCCGAGGAGGTGACATAAACAGAGGACATAAGGAAAGGAGGAGGGGCCACAGGAATATCTAGGGGAAGCACATGTTGGGCAGGGGAAGAGCCAGTGCAAAGGCCCTGTGGCAAGCAACTGAGGCAAATGGAAAAAAACAAACGCAGGAAGCAGCAGGGCTGGGAGGAAATGAGGGAGGGAGGTAAAGGCCGAGGCAGGCAGAGCCCAGCCCGAGGAGCTTGAAGGCCATTGTAGGGACTGCGTTCTACTCTGATCAATGGACCCCCAGAAAAGCTAGGCCAGACCCGGGTACAGAGCCCACCCAGTGCTGTGTGTGTGTGGTGGGGGGCAAACTCCAACCTCTGCTCCTTTACCCTGGGGTCCTGGCCAGGTCCTGTAGGCAGAGAGTAACAGGCCAGGCACTAGGGTGAGGTGCATAAGGCCTAGTGAGCGAGACAATCAGCTCAGGTGTAAAACTTAAGGGGGCATTAAAAAAAAAGAAAGTCGATCAGTAAGATAAACGATTTTCCTGCAATATACCTAAAAATCAAAATTAATACAAAAAAAATCCATGATGAACAAAATGCCAACCTTTTAAATAACAGGATCTAACCCAGAACTTGCATGATCCTGTCTCACTCAGCTCACCCTGATCTAGACCCTGGTTCCAATAAAACTTTATTTGTAAAAATAGGCGGCTGACTGGCAGGGCTGTAATTCACTGATCTGGTGTTTTAGTTTTAGATGACAATGTTATGGATCTTGGCACCCTCGTGGATTTTGCACCCTGATGAGTGCCCCATTTACCTCGCTTATCCAGGACCTGAGTCCTGGTCCCGGATAACAATGGAATGACTGGGTTCCACATTGAGGGCCTCGGTGTTCACGCCTCCTGAGGCTCCCAGAGGTGAAGGGACTTTCCCCGAGAGCGGGAATCTGAACTGGATACTTATGTCAAAGTCCACTGCCTGGCCGTCACACCCCACCATGCTCTGTCCTGGAGTGCTGACTTGAATGAGTGTTGATTTTTTAAAGCTTTGTTGTTGTTGTTGTTAATCCTCACCTGAGGATATTTTCTGCATTGAGTTTTAGAGAGAGTGGAAGGGAAGGAGGAAGGGGGAAAGGGAGAGAGAAGGAGAGAGGGAAAGAGGG